AAAAAGGAAAAAAACTTTTAAGCTATATATTTTTGTATTATCTTGATTATTGTGATTAATAATATATTAATAATTATAATTTTATCACATGTAAAATGATCTACAAATGCGTCGAATCCGCCCATATGAGCATTTCGATGGTTGCATTATTAATAGCACTGAATTTACTACCTGGATTTAAAAAACTATTAGAGATCATTAAATTATTTATATTGCTATACAGATATTGTATTGATGAGAACCACTCATTGGTTTCTTCCTGAACTTTATGAAACTGGTTGGATTTATATATTCTTTGCATTGCTAGTGATAATGAATTTATTAGTTGATTATAAGTTTTTGGTATCATATCTTTTATAGTAAGTATACTTTGTGCATTAATATATGACTTATTATCTACTAGTAATATCTGTTTTTTTTTCTAACTAAGATAGAGCATTCCATATATTATCTTTCTCATTATATCCACCTTCACCATCCTCAATATCATCTGAATTGGGAGATACACATTGAGGTTGGAAAGGTATTAGAGGAGGAAAGTATCGATGTGTTGAATTTGATTTAGCTACAGGTTTTTTGAATTGATTATCAAGTATTATCCTTCCAAATTGAAATATCATTTGACCGATTTCATCTACTTTCGATTCTATTCTATCTATTCTCGCAAATTGGTTTTGTTGCTGAGAGTGAGGTCTTTGAAAAGGTTTTATAGAATAATTTCCCTCTAAATCTTCTGTACTTAATATATCTAAATTATTTAAGAATTGTAATAAGTGATAATTTCCCATACCTTCTTCTGTTTGTAATGAAGATAGTGGACCTCTTGGCTATCTAACTGGGTCAACAGTTTGAGGAGCAGTTTGCTTAGCCATTTAAGATTCTAATTCTGTAACTTTCTTTACTAATGTCTGGTTTTCAGTTTTTTGTTGTACTAGTATATTCTGGATTGCTTTTTGTATATCTTCTAAAGAAATTCCTTGCTATTGAGGAGCTGGGGTAACTAGTAGTAAAGAATAGGATACTGAATTTATACTAGGTAAGGCTTGGACTTGATTGGCAATTTAACTTGATTCCTCTGGGATCCTTCCACTCAAATTTTGCCTACACTCTAGCCACATATTTTTTAGTTCAGTGAAAAATGCATTAATGCCTGCAGAATTAAAAATTCTCATTCAAGTATAAAAATCACCTATTAAATGACTTTTAAGAAATCCTAAAACTTGTATATCATTGTCTGCTACTCCTAATAATAGTGGTCGAATTCTGGCTTTATAGGTATCAGGAGTACTATAGGGCTGATATCTTTCTTAAGTTAATCTTTGAATAGCCAATTGTTGATTTTCAACAGTTTCTTGCTGATATTTTGCTCTCATTCAAGCCCGTAATGTATCTGGAGAATTTATAGCTAGATTTCCTACTACAAGATTATTATTTGCCGGTACTGGAATATATTTTCCACCTATTATAGATTTTAAAATATTATACTTGACCGCATTGTTAAAATCTCCTGTATTTGCATTTTCAAGAACCATCATATGCTCTTCAAGATATGCCCATGATTGAATAACTTTATTCAAGTAATCATCAGGTAGTTCTTGGCCTATATAAGGTGGAAATTTTGCAAGAGCAGAAGCTATTAATTTTAATACCGGTAAATATCTAGTATCAGCCATATTTATTTGATTTGGTGGATTATTATGAAGCATCAAAATTTGTTGATTTAAAATTAAAATATTCTGGCACTCTGCATAAGTCTTATTTTTCCACTTCTTATATCGTTTATATAATCTATTTCGATTATTTCCAACAAATCTCTATTAGCTCTGCATCATTGTAGGTGGTGGGTATTTCATTGATATAAGATTTGTAAAGCAAATTTTTCCTGTAGTAATACACCAATACAGGTTCACTTTCCTGTTATATTGTCTAACATTCTCTTTACTTGTTTTTGAGCATTAGTTCGCAACTGCTGAAGATCAAGTAGTGTCTGATCTCGCTTCTGCCTATACGTATCTCAGTCCCATTGTACATTTACCAGATCTTGTTGTAAGTTAGTGTATTTATGTCAGATTGATCTTGTTGATCTTTTAATTTAATTTGTTAAAACAGTTCTACATATTGCTATATTATTTAGAGATTGGTCTATAGCATTAGCTAACTCAGCTATTATACCTATATCTAAATTTTGATCAAAATTATAAATATCTAAAGAATTTTCATCAGAGTCAGATTCATTTTCATTAAAATTCCATGCTTGTACATTTTGTAAAGCCTCTTGTGTATTTATAAGTTCTAATTTATCTTGATATAGGGGTGTGGCGATCTAGTGTAGTGGTTAGGTTGTCACCCCCACCAAGTGGCAGGTCAAGAGTTCGAAACCCACCG